TTTTTTTTTTTTTGAAAAATTTCACTTCATTTGAACAGACAACCGCTTTCTCTCTAAAAAAGCCTTCGCATAATTAGCAAATGGGAAGTTTTCAGAAAGGAGTGATTGACGCTGCCAAGGAGATGGCATCCGATGCAGCAGAAGCTGTGAAGGAAAAAGCATCCGAAGCCTACAGCAAGGTTTACTGTTTTTCGACTTGAGTTTATGCAGCACAGCCGGGTTCAGACCCCCAAAATAAAAGTCCGAGAGATGCTAAAGGATTTATGGGATCTGTATGAATTGTTAGGAATGAGGCCTCGGAATATATCTGAAACAGAACGTCAGGGCGTACGCAGCTCTGTCGGTCTGTTCTCCTGTTGCTTTGTCGGGTTCCTACCTAAATTCGTTACTAAATTTCCACTCATACCAGATTTTCAGAATGGTTCAGAAAGCAGTACAAAAGTGTAGTATCACTGTGCGACCATGTGCATTTACCTGCTGAACTGAACTAACAGAACTAACAAAAATTCCCGCATTGAAACTTCAGGAACTCAGCCCTCAGCCTTGTGCTGGCTACCTTTGACTGGAAAAAACTGAAATGGTTTTAGTCTCCTCGGGTTGCTACGCTTAAATGTTTAGAGGCAATATTATTCATGCTGACTATTTACACTTCCTTCATTCCACTTTTTGTGATCACTTTAAAATGTCCTAAATGAGCGCACAGTGGCAGCATGTGTTGAGGCAAATTAACAGTTTTCCTTGCCTGCAGTTCGCTAAGCACTTTGGTACCAATTTATGATTAGGGCAGGCTGCAGAAGGTTCAGTTTCATTTGAAATTACGGCTGGTGTCTTAGAGCAGTTGCTAATAGCCATTAGGCGAGGTTCACTGGCTTCATCTGAGGAAGGGACTTAGGTGCCAGCACTGTTCATCGACCGAGTAGAACAAGTTTGGTTAAACTGGTTAGTGCAGCTAGCAGCCAGGTCGGCAGAAGCGTGGACATTGATCAAAAAGACGCTAAGGTACTAGTACACATCCGCCATTTACGTTTCCCAAAGTTATAAAATTTGTGATCATCTTTTGTTTCATTGTCGCATTTCCAGTTACCAGCAATCAGCGGATAATTTCAAACTGGTGCTTGCTGATGGAATCACAGTCCCTTAAACAAATTTATATTCCTATTACTTGTTCAAATACAGTATTCCTGAATGCTGCTGACTTATGT